TGGGGTTTACTCCTACTGCTGACCCGTCGTTGTTTATACGCACCGACACGTTGCTGCCGCCGTTCTGTGTCCTCGTGTACGTCGACGACCTGGTCTTTGCCAATGCTGACACCTAGGCACTGACCCTTGTGAAGTCGGAGCTGCAAAAGAGACACACCTGCACTGACCTGGGTGAACTGCGCAGCTATCATTGCTTGCAGATCACCCGGGATAGAGCACGTCGCACCATCACACTGACTCAGTCACACATGGTGCACCAGGTCCTTCAGCGCTTCGGCTTCCAGTTCTCCTCGCCACAGCCCACTCCTCTATCTACCGGCCACTCGCTCTCAGCTCCACCTTCGGACGAGTCCGTAGAGCCGAGTGGTCCGTATCCAGAGCTTGTGGGTTGCCTCATGTACCTGATGACGTGCACACGACCTGACCTCTCGTACCCTCTCAGCCTTCTGGCTCGCTATGTGGCTCCCGGTAGGCACCGAAAGGTGCACTGGGATGCTGCAAAGAGGGTACTGCGTTACTTGTGCAGTACGTCGGGCATGGGGCTCGTGCTTGGAGGACGGGGTCTAGTTGTCGTCACTGGTCACGCAGACGCTTCTTGGGTTGACGACTCAGCTACGCAGCGGTCGTCACAGGGTTACACCTTGAGCCTCGGTTCCGGCTCTGTTTCCTGGCGGTCTACCCGCTCGTCTTCGGTTCTCAGCTCCAGTTGTGAGGCTGAGATCTATGCAGGGGCCATGGCTGCACAGGAGCTACGATGGCTCACCTACCTGCTGATTGACTTGGGAGAGCAGCCTTATTCGCCTCCAGTTCTGTACGTAGACAACAAGGCCATGATTGCCTTGTGTGAGGAGCACAGATTGGAGCACAGAACGAAGCACATCGCTCTGCGATACTTCCTTGCTCGAGAGTTGCAGCAGCGTGGCCAGCTTCGTCTTGCGTACGTGGCCACTAGGGCCAACACTGCTGATATATTAACCAAGGCATTTCAGCCTGGTGATGATCAGCGATTATCTACTGTGTTAGGCCTTGTGCCTACTTTGCCTCACTTGATCACTGCATGACTTTGCTTGTACTGTGACCTATATATATACCTGCGTGCTTACACTTGATAGGGCATGATCACTGTATTGTTTGTTCTCTTTTATATAACTCTGCATGTGAACTGACCTTGTGGCCCTTTGCTTGTGCTCGGATTGTATGGTGACTTTGTGATCCACCCTGAGCTTGCTTTGGTTTTCTTGTCTGGTCTTGTGACCACTTGTTCTCCCCCACTTTGCCTATGGGGGTGTGTCAGAATGTTATAGTGCTTAGATTTGTGTAGGCTATAGTGGGGTAGCCCATAAGGGGTACAACCCAATTAGGGTTAGTCCTTGTACCCAACTCTTTCATAGTTCATTCATTTTCGTTCGTTAGTTTGAGAGAGTGGTCCGTATCTAGAGCTTGTGGGCTGCCTCATGTACTTGATGACCTGCACTCGACCAGACCTCGCGTACCCTCTCAGCATCCTGGCGCGCTTTGTTGCACTCATGAGACACCGCCTTGAGCTGAACCGGGCTGCACAGAGGGTGCTGCATTACTTGTGCAGTACGTCAGGCATGGGGCTTGTGCTTGGAGGACAGGGTCGAGTTGAGCTCACTGGGCACTCAAACGCTTCTTGGGCCGACGACGAGGGGACCCAGTGCTCGCCACAGGGTTACACTTTCAGTCTTGGCGCTGGTTTTGTCTCCTGGAGGTCCACCCGCTTGTCTTCTGTACTTAGTTCCAGTTGTGAGGCAAACATCGACGCTAGGGCTAGGGCTGCACAGGAGTTACGATGGCTGACATACTTGCTGAGTGACTTGGGTGAGTGGCCTCATTCTCCTCCTGTTCTTTACGTCGACAATAAGGCCATGATTGCGTTGTGACGCGAGCAGAGACTGGAGCACAGAACAAAGCACATTGCTCTTTGTTACCTTTTTTCGCTCGGGAGCTGCAGCAGCGTGGTCAGCTTCGCCTCGCTTACGTGGCCTCATAGGCCAACACTGCTAACATCTTCACCAAGTCCCTCGGGTCTGGTGATTATTAGCGCTTCTGCACTGCTCTTGGGCTTGTGCCCACTCTGCCTCACTTGCTTGTTTCTTGATCTAGCTTTGCCCTTGTTATATACTGCTATATATCTATATACTTGCTAGGTTGTGAACAGTGTACTGCCATTGCTATTATAACTCTGCATGTGAACTGTCCTTGTGACCGCTTGCTTGTGCTCAGACTGCGTGGTCATCTTGAGATCCACCTTGAGCTTTGCTTTGTTTGCTTCTCTTGACTGGTCTTGTGACCGCTTGTTGTCCCCCACTTCGCATATGGGGGTGTGTCAAAACATGTTTATATGCTGTTGGTTTTATTAGGCTGCAGTGAGGTACGCAGTATAGAGTATAACCTCTTTCTCTCGATATTCATACTTGTACCCTTGCTCCTACTAGTCCTGTTAGAATCCGTGAACAGGAATGATGAATGACTAGCAACAGGGAGATACAAGTATGAAACCCTAACTGGGTTTGTACTCTATACTGAGCACCTCACTGTAGCCTAGCAGAACTAAGAATATATGAATATGTTTTGACACACCCCCCTAGGCAAATTGAGGGATAGCCAACACAACAAACGGTCACAAGACCAGTCAGGCAAGAGAACAAAGCAATGCAAATCCTAGGGTGGATCTCAAGATCACCACTCATTCTGAGCACAAGCAAGCGCCCACAAGGCTAGTTCACATGCAGAGTTATAATAGCAAGGCAGTACACTGATCACAACCTAGCAAGAGTAAACATGCAGATATAAATATAGATATCAGTGTACAACAAGTGCAACATCAAGAGACAAGCAGGTGAGGCAGAGTGGGCAGAAGCCCAAGAGCAGTGCAAAAACACTGATAATCATCAGACCCGAGGGCCTTGGTGAAGACATCAGTAGTGTTGGCCCGAGAAGCCACGAAGGAAAGGCGAAGCTGACCACGCTGCTGCAGCTCGCGAGCAAGAAAGTAGCAAAGAGCAATATGCTTTGTTCTGTGCTCCAGTCTCTGCTCGTGACACAAGGCAAGCATGGCCTTGTTGTCTACGTACAGAACAGGAGGAGAACAAGGCTGCTCCTCCAAGTCGGTCAGCAGGTAGGTCAGCCAGCGTAGCTCCTGTGCAACCATAGCCCCAGCGTAGATCTCGGCTTCACAGTTGGACCCAAGCACAGAAGAAGAACGAGTGGACCTCCACGAGACAGAACCAGAGCCAAGACTGAAGGTGTAACCCTGGGACGAACGCCGAGTCTTGTGAGTACCAATGAACCCCGTCCTCCAAGCACGAGCCCCATGCCCGACGTACTGCACAAGTAACGCGGTACCCTCTTCGCAGCATCTCAGTGCACCTTTCAGTGTCTACCGAGAGCCACGTAGCGAGCCAGGAGGCTGAGAGGGTACGCGAGGTCAGGACATGTGCACGTCATCAGGCACGTGAGGCAACCCACAAGCTCTGGATACGGACCACTCGGCTCTACGGACTTGTCCGAAGGTGGAGCTGAGAGCGAGTGGCCGGTAGACAGAGGAGTGGGTTGTGGCGAGGAGAACTGGAAGCCGAAGCGCTGAAGGACCTGGTGCACCATGTGTGACTGAGTCAGGGTGATGGTGCGCCGTGCTCTGTCCCGGGTGATCTGCAAGCCAAGATAGCTACGCAGCTCACCCAGGTCAGTGCAGGTGTGTCTCTCCTGCAGCTCCGCCTTCACTAGGGCCAGCGCCTCAGTGTGAGCAGTAGCAAAAACCAAGTCGTCGACGTACACAAGAACGTAGAACGGCGGCAGGGTAGTGTCGGTGCGTAGAAATAGCGACGGGTCAGCAGAGGAAGGAGCAAACCCAAGAGCCGCAAGTGTCGTCCTCAGTGTGTCGTGCCACTCGAGGGGCGCCTGGCGGAGACCGTAGACTGGCCGCCAGAGGCTCCACTGGGTACCCGCAGGAAACGACCCAGTGAAGCTAGGTGGGCGGCGCAGCCAGATCTCCTCGTGAAGGCTGCCCTACAAGAAAGCTGTGGAGAAGTCGAGAGAGTGCAGCTCATAGTCATGCTGTGCTGCAACGTGCAGCAACACCCGAAGAGCAGTCATCTTCGGAGTGGGGGAGAAGGTATGGAAGAAGTCAACCCCTTGTCACTGATTGAAGCCTTGAGCAACGTAACGCGCCTTGAAGGCAGGCGGAGAACCCGGCGGCCGCTTCACCCTGAAAATCCACATGCCATCGACTATGTTCGCCCTAGGAGGAGGAACCTCGTCGACGTAGGTGCCTGTGGACTTCCAGGAAGCCATCTCTGCGTCCATGGCTGTCTGCCACTGAGAGGAGTACTCACCCGCGATTGCCTCAACGTAAGAGTGTGGGGGAGGGATGTCAGGTGCATCCGGGTCTCGCTCAGGGCAAAGCAACATGGATGCGAAACAAGGTAAAGCAGCCGCAAGACATTTAAGCTCAAATTGTCTGTCCTCAAGGACGTCACTGCCAAGGGCAGGGTCACCCCCGAGGGACGGAGGACAAACAGACTCAGACTCAGTAACAAGACTCGCGACGTAGTCAAGACTTCGTCTAGCAGCAAAGTCGACTAGCTCAGTGACTAGGGGAAACGCAGCAGTAGACTCAAAGTCAGGGTTAGTGACGACAGTAGTGAGGAGACGAGTGACAGTAGGACTGGCAGCACGAGCAAGGTCGGACGCCGGGTCAGGACCGTCAGGAAGAGAGGACGCTGGAGGAGACGGTAGGGGAACATGCTGTTGGACAGAGGAAGGACGAAGTGCCATAACGTGAGTGCCTGAGACAGCAGGAGGACGAGGATGAGCGACACGACGAGCACGAACAGGTATGGAAGCACGAGTCTCAGGCTCACGACGCTCAATCAGGGACTCAGTCACCTCAGTGTGAGGAGCAGGAGCAGGGAGCGGGGAGCCAGGCAATAGCTGTAGCTGAGACTGGTCTGTCGGTGGATACAGGAGAGGTGGACTTAGGCCAGTGGAAGACGGGAGAATAAGAACCTGTCGAAGGACCGAGTCAGGCTGCGGCAGGGACGACTGCGGCTGCGGGTAGAAAAACGGTCGGCGCGGGGCAGTACCTGTACTGTCAGCAGCTCCAGCTCCTCTTGCACCAGCAACACCAGCACCTCCAACACCAGCAGCTCCAGTAGCACCTCCAGCACCTCCAGCACCAGCAGCACCACCAGCTCCGGCAGCGCTAGCACCTCTAGTACGAGCACCTCCAGGACCAGCAGCTCAAGCACCTCCAGTACCTCTGGTACCTCCAGCTCCAGCGCCTCCAGCACCGACAGTACCTTCAGCACCTCCAGTGCCAGCAGCTCCAGTAGCACCTAAAGCACCTCCAGCACCAGCAGCACCACCTGCTCCAGCAGCTCTAGCACCTCTGGGACGATCACCTCCAGGACCAGCAGCTCCAACAGCTCAAGTACCTCCAGTACCTCCAGCTCCAGCGCCTCCAGCACCAGCAGTACCTCCAGCACCTCCAGTGCCAGCAGCTTCAGTAGCACCTCTAGTAGCACCTCCAGCACCTCCGGCACCAGCAGCACCACCTTCTCCGGCAGCTCCAGCACCTCTAGTACGAGCACCTCCAGGAACAGCAGCTCCATTACCTCCTGTTCCTCCAGTACCTCCAGTACCTCCAGTACCTCCAGTACCTCCAGTACCTCCAGTACCTCCAGTACCTCCAGCATCAGCAGCACCAACACCTCCAGTACCTCCAGCTCCAGCACCTCCAGCTCCAGCAGCTCCAGTGCCAGCAGTACCAGCACCTCAAGCTCCGGCAGCTCCAGCACCTCTAGGACCAGTAGCTCGAGGAGCTGTAAAACTCCAAGCTCCAGCACCAGAGAGGCCTCGCCGAACGACCCACTCACGAAGCTGATGTGGTGAGGGCGTCTCGAGTCAACTAGGCGGCTGCTGCTGTCCAATGCCAGGACCTGCAGTAGGAGCACCCACGGCCCCACCACCAATAGGACTTGCAGCACCCCCAGAGTCAGCACCCCCAGAGTCAGCACCCCCATAACCCTCACCCCCAGTCTCAGCACCCCCAGGACCAGCAACCCCAGTCTCAGCACCCCCAGTATCAGCACCTCCTGCGTCCTCACCTCCAGTGTCACCACCCCCAGCAGCACCAGTGTCCACAGCTACAGGCTGCAGAGGCGGTGAAGACGGTCGAGGCGGAAAACCAGGAGGGGTCTCCAAGCATGGAGAGAGACGAGTGGTCGCTGTGTCATCAGCAGCGGGGTCACCCCCCTTAGCTGGTCCAGAGGTGTTAGAGGAGATCACCTAAGGCTCAACCAAGGGGTGTGGGTCTACCTGAGAGACACCTGAGGGAACAGGACCCTGTGGGGGGAGGGGGTCTACCAGGGGGGGAACTGGTACCAGGAAGAGAGGCGCCAGGGGGACCGGGTGGGACGCGTGCGGGTGTAGCCTGTAGAAACAGACCGACTCGTCAAAGGTGACGTCCTGGGAGGAGAAGATGCGACAGGAGCGAGGGTGGTAAAATTGACATGGCAGGGCGTCGGTGGGAAAGCCCAGGAAGGCGCAGCGGAGAGTGCGAGGAGAGAGCTTGCTCGCGGTGGTATCGCGAACAAGGGAGAGCGCGCCCCAGACCCGAAACGCCGTCGCATCGCCAACCTCTCCCGTCCAATGGAGTGTGGGCGAGGTCTCTGGCAAAGAGACACGGGGCCAGAGGTTGAGCTGATGCGCGGCGTATCGGACTGCAAACGGCCACAGAAAATGGGTAGCAGCCACATGGATCATGGAGGTACGAGCAACCTCCATGATCAAGCCAATGCTATGCTCAGCAATCCCATTTTTATGCAGAGGTCGGAAGCGTGAACGACTGGACGATGCCCTCGTCTCGACAGAACTCCGCAAGGAGGCCGGAAGAGAACTCACCACCCCTGTTACAGTGCAGACGCTGGACTGGAAGGTCCCGCCGGAACCGCTCGCGCAGCTGGTGACGAGTAGCAAGGATCTAGGGGATCAAAACACCGCTGACGTCTGCCTTGCCGCGCAAGGGGAAGACCGTGGTGTAGCGCGTGTAGTCGTCAACGACCAGCAGGAAGAAGCGCTCCTGGTCCCTCCCACTGACGCGGGCGGGACCCCACACGTCCACGTGGAGAGTCTGCAGAGGAGCAATAGTCGGAGGAAAGGAGGAGGAGTGAGGAGCGGCGCGCTACCGCCCCTCGACACAGGGAAGGCACGGCTGGGCAGGCGAGTGCGGGAGGGGGGACAGAACCTGGGAAGGCCACAAACAAGGAGACGGGAGTGCATGCTGCGCAGAGAGGGGTGACCGAGTCGGTGGTGCCTGAGGAGAGTCTGGTGGGAAAGTACCCAAAACGAGCAAGACGCTGCAAGCTGACCAGACGCAGACACCTGACTCGACGCAGCCACCTGACCCGACGCAGCCACCTGACCTGACGCAGGCACCTGGGCAGACGTAGTGGTCAATGTGTATAGACTGGACCCAGGCTTCCAAGTGAACGTAGCAAGGTGATGGCCAGTCAGGGAGCACGTACAGATCGCCACTCGCTGTCCCCCAGGGATAAAGGTATCAACCCATACATCCTGAAGGACTGCGTTGCTCACCAAGTTCGTCGAGAACGAGGGGAGGTGGAGACCTGAAAGAGAGCCGGAGGGGACTGCTGGACACTGGAGGACAGTGGAGGCTCGCGCTACTACTGGGCCCCAGTGGGGTCAGCCAGTGAGACTGGGACAGGTGCTGCGAGCGGTGTGACTGTGGTGCAATCACGAAAGAAGCAGCATGACGCGCCTGAGTCAAGTGTGAAAGTGTGCAAGGCCTCAGGTGAGGCAGGACCAGTGGCGGTAGACGCACTAGCACCTAGAGCTGCAGCAGACTCACTAGCACCTAGAGCGGCAGCAAACTCATTAGCACCTGGAGCAGCAGCCTCTACACAACCAGGGACGCCTCGCTGAGAAACACAGTCGCGAAGCCGCTGCAAGGAGAAGGTCTCCTGCTGACGCTGCTGCCGCTGCTGTCCAATACCTATAAAACCATAACCTCCACCACCTGGACGGCCTCGCTGAACGATCCACTCACGAATCTGCTGTGGCGAGAGAGTGTCCGGGTGCGCGGGCTGCCGCTTCTGTCCAGCACCTCCAGCACCTCCAGCACAATAACCTCCACCACCAGGACGGCCTCACAGAATAACCCACTCGCGAAGTTGCTGCGGTGATAGAGTGTCCATGTGAGGAAGTGGCTGCTGTTGTCCACCCCTAGACGTTGCTACGACCGTGATAGTGGCCATGACAGGCAGTGGCAGTCAGTAGCAGCGGCGCAAGGGCGGTAGTAGCGAGTGCTGTAGCTGCAGCTGTAGCAGTAGTGGTGGTCGCTGTGGCTGTAACAGCAATAGCGACTGTTGGAGTGGCTGTGGAGGCCAGTAGGGTGCGTGGGCAGCAGGGCACGGGCTAGCGCAGTAACAGCAGCAGTAGCGCCAGCAGCTGCAGCAAGGGCGGCTCGGCAGGGCAGCAGGTGCGCGGGCTGCAGGGCAGGGCGGCACGCGGGCCTAAGGGCAGGGCAGCGCGGCTTGCGGGCTGCAGGGCAGGGCAGCGCGGATCCAAGGGCAGGGCAGTGCGTGGGCCTAAGGGCAGGGCGGCTCGCGGGCCTAAAGGCAGGGCAGTGCGGCTCACGGGCTGCAGGGCAGGGCGGCATGCGGGCCTAAGGGCAGGGCAGCGCGGCTCGCGGGCTGCAGGGCAGGGCAGCGTAGCTCTAAGGGCAGGGCAGCGCGCGGGCCTAAGGGCAGGGCAGCGTGGCTCGCGGGCTGCAGGGCAGGGCAGCGCAGCTCTAAGGGCAGGGCGGCGCGCGGGCCTAAGGGCAGGGCAGCGCGGCTCGCGGGCTGCAGAGCAGGGCGGCGCGCGGGCCTAAGGTCAGGGCAGCGCGGCTCTAAGGGGCAGGGCAGCGCAGCGCGCGGGCTGCAGGGCTGGGCAGCGCGGCTCGCGGGCTGCAGGGCAGGGCGGCGCGCAGGCCTAAGGGCAGGGCAGTGCGGCGCGTTGGCTGCAGGGCAGGGCGGCGCGCGAGCGCTGGGCAGAGGGCAGAAAAACAATTACGGGCAGGGCAGGGCGGAACGTTCGGTGGGCCCTAGGAACGATCCCGCTCTAATACCATGTTAGAATCCGTGAACAGGAATGATGAATGACTAGCAACAAGGAGATACAAGCATGAAACCCTAACAGGGGTTGTACTCTATACTGAGCATCTCACTGTAGCCTAGCAGAACTAAGAACATATGAAAATGTTTTGACAAGTCCATCATTCCTACTACCTAATTCTAACACTCCTTGTTCGTGTGCGTAGGGCAGGGAGACCACGTGCTCAATCCTTTTTGCGCTGAAGTAGTCCTTGAACTCCTTGGTGAAGTACTCTAGCCCTCAGTTTGTCTGAAAGCTCTTGAGCTTAAGCTCAGATTGTTGTTCTGTTTTCTTGATCCAGAGCACGAAACAGTCGAAGGCTTGCGAGCGCAGGTCGATCTTGATGGCCCAGACGAACGGAATACTGGCGTCTATGAAGGTCATTGTGTAGCCTTCGTCGTCTTACCCAGGTTTGCTGAGCACAGTAAAGTCGATGTAGACCTTGTCAAGAGGTTTGTAACACAGTGAACCTGGAGGTTGCTTCGGGAACGATTGGCGAGTTAGGGCATGTTCCTACGCTCTTACCAGGCAAACCTCTTGTCAGGTTTGCCTGGTAAAACTCGCCAAGGTTTTTGGGTCTAGGGAAATGTCAGTGTGTTTTGACGTGAGCCTGATAAGAGGTTGGCCTGATAAGGGGCCGTAGGTGTCAAACATATATGCTATAGTCTTTCTAGGCTGTAGTGGGGTAGTTCATATAGGGTACAACACTTTTAGGTTTCCTACTTGTACCCACCTGCTTGCTAGTTCAGTCATTCCTTCCTTCACTATTCTGACATGGTATTCTGAGCAGGTTCCCTCGTGGGAACGTTTTTTTTAGGGCCCACCACGATCACTTTTTATTTCCTGCCCTGCCCGAAGCGCGCTTCACGCCTGCCTCACCTGCGCCGTCTCGCGCCCTGCCCTAGAGCTGCCCGTCGCGGCCCTGCCTTCTCGGCCCGTCGCGGCCCTGCCCTAACGGCCCGTCGCGGCCCCTACCATCGCGGCCCCTGCCGTCGCGGCCCCTGCCGTCGCAGCCCCTGCTGTCGCGGCCCCTGCAGTCGCGGCCCCTGCCGTCGCGGCCCCTGCCGTCGCGGCCCCTGCTGTCGCGGCCCCTGCAGTCGCGGCCCCTGCCGTCGCGGCCCCTGCCGTCGCGGCCCCTGCTGTCGCGGCCCCTGCCGTCGCCCCCCCCCCCCCCCCCCCC